ATTAGGCATGGTGAACCACGTCAGAGGTTAAGGGGACACCCCGCCGCTCATCCATCACGAGGCACACAGTGAAAGGGATGTTTGTCATTTTGCAGGGTTGATTGGATTGAGAATATCCATTTTAGTCTTTGATTGAACAGTACATGTCTTGGCCTATAGTTGCTAAATTCTATGATTGTACAGTGTTCCCATTATCTACAGTGACCTTCCCACGAGCTTTCTATTTTGTCCATGGATGAACAGGGGAAGGTCACAAATCCTCCTCTATAAATATGATGATATTGGATAGAGGAGGGGATCCAATTTTTCTCTCACTAAAGTTCACTCTTGAGATAGAGTAAGAAATATAATTCGGACTGAGGAGATTTACCCGGTCTAGGTCATACTTTGTGTTCTTGTTGTGTGTTTTATATTACGGGTCGAGTGTGTCCAGGTCAAACCCGGTTAACCCACCCCGCTATATTTACACCATCACTTACATTTTAACTAAATTTCCTAAATTCACACAAATATTAAATTTATATGAATGAGTGTAGATTTAGGAATTTTAGATAAAAGGTATGCACATAGCCATTCAGGGAACGAATATATGGCTTGTTTGACAATAAATTGAATGTTTACTTTTATAGCTTTTGAAAACGTTATCTAAGGAAAACTATTCGTTTTATTATTTAAATGTTAATCTTGTCATTAAAATAATATCCAAAATGATAACAAAAACGTTGTTCCTGAATCCCGAACAAGGCAAGTTTGGGATACAACAATTACAATATAGTTAGATCTCACAAAAGTAGAGTACAAGGAAAGTGGGTGTATAGAGACATTGTCTCCCCAAAAATAAAGAGGTTGTTTCCAAAAGGCCTTCGGTTCAAGCTCCACAAAAAGAAGGATCACAACATATGCATGGAGAGCACATATCAGAGATAAAACACTCAATATCCAAAAAATGAACCAAAATTAAGAAGATATTGGATAATTTATTTAAGAAAATTTACCTAAATAGTACTATAACATAGTGAGTTTCTCAAAATAGTATTATATGTTTTTATTTCTCAATATAGTACCTCTGTTTATTTTGGTCACTGTTCAGGTAAATGTTCACCGTCAATAGACATTGTTGAAACTAAATGTTCACCATCACTGAATATTATTCATGTACTAAGAATTATTCAATACTGTTTAAGAATTAAAAAATTTAAGTATTATATCAAAAAATAACATATATTTTAGTATGGCAAATATTACATTTTTTTTAAGGTTGGAAATAAAATTCTAGTACGGAGGACTCCGGATTTGGTTTTCGAATTTACGGAGTAGAAATTTTTGTTGGCAACAGCCAACAGGCGTTTGTTAGGACTTGGGACACTTGTTGGCTTTGTGTTAGGCCGGTGGAATAGGCCAACCGATAAGTCAATAACTAATTAAATGAAGAAAAAAAGAATTGAACTGTATGTACTCTAAAAATTATAGCTCAATTTGTATTTCAAAGACATTTCATGCTAATCTAATGTTAGTGTCATGACTTACAATGACACACAATAGTGTAAATTTTTTTGATTGAGCTGGCATTTTGTGCCAATATAAACTATTAAAATATTAGTATAAATTTTCGGGGTACAATTTGGTTGAGAAAAAATAGAAACCAATAGGCTAAATTACAATGTCGGTCATTCAAATTATTAGGTCATGCATGATTAATCTTTCAATTTCGAAATTTTTATAAATAATTCTTCAAATCATGTTCAGGTAGCATGTTGGTCATTCCGTTAATTTTGCCATTAGTTCTTTCATTTTTCTATTATAAAAACATAAGAGGAGCTCTCTCTTCATAAAGCTGAATCATATTTAATATAGATCCATTTTTAACACTTCAATAATAATTTACTTTTACTTTTATTAATCTAATCTTTTAAATAATAGTTAGGCTTCGTTCCGTTCAACTTATTTTTTATCTTATTCTTATTAAAATCAGATCAAATCAGATTAGATCAGATCCAATCAGATCAAACTAGATCATATCATATCCAATAAAAAATTATTATTATTACGGTGGGTTCTAGTGACACCAGAGTACGGTGACACTCCGGTGCCACTGTCATTTTGGGGCACTTTCAGTGCTCCGTTCGTAAAATAAATGGTTTCTACCCCCTTACCCACCCCCTAAACCCCCCACCCTACCTCCATCCCTGCACCCCCATCCCAACCTCGTCGTAAGCCCCCCACAAAATGTGTGGCTATTATGCAATGCATAATACCCACACATTTTGTGGGGGGGATTACGGCGGGGTTGGGGTGGGAGCTTTAGGGGATGGGTTAGGAGGGTAGGAACCGTCAATTTTACTAATGGAGCACCGGAAGTGCCCATAAATGACAGTGGCACCGCTAGTGTCATCAAAGGTGGGTGTCACTAGAAGTCTAGAACCCACTGTTATTATTATTATTATTCTTAAAAATGAAAAAGAATAAACTTTAGAAATAAGTTAAATAGAAAACTGATAAAGTAATCCTTAATTATTAGACGTCGTAAAAATTATATTCAAAATACATTGACAATGTCAATCTAATTTTACTTTTAAAATACATTTCTATTGTTACCTGTAATTTGAATTTCTAAAGTTTTGATCTTTTACTACGTCGAGTTGATAAACTTTGATCATGATTTAAATAAAATTAACATTGGATATTAATATACGGAGCAAATTTTAGTGTAACTGAAATAACTATTATATCTATGGTGTTATATTAATCCTAAAAAGTTTCGTAGTACAAGGACATGCTGATATATTATAAAGATGGGATATTTTAATAAAAATACTATCTTTTCTCTATATTGATTATCTAAATATAATTACTTTTTAATGTATATATGAATTAAATATTTATTCTAACATATATATGAACTAATTATTAAAATACTGAATCAATATACTTATTTCATTAAAAAACAATCATAAAATAAAAAATATTATTACATTAAAATATGAATGATTATTCTAATATATGAATTACTCTCTCCGTCCCAGAGTATTTGTCCACTTTCATTTTTACACATCATCCAATGCACTTCCTTAATCTATTTTATCTTGTAATTTGTATATTAAAAAATTATAGAAATTATATATTAATAATCTATATGTTAAGACAAATCAAACAAGATCAAACATGACTATATTCAGGCTTACACATTAAGAGAATTTGATGAGTCAAAGTGTTTAGATGAACAGTTCCAAAAGTTAAAAGTGGACAAAAACTGGAGGACGGAGGGATTAACTAATTTTATTTCATTAAAAATAATTATAAAATAAAAAATATTGATTATATAATAGTATGAATTATCATTACAATTTTCAAAAGTTATTA